TCAAGAAAACAAACTGACCAACAAGGTAACTGAAATCCCCATGTGCTGCTAAAGAAACCTAATAATAAAGGAGGCAGGTGATAATATCCTTAACAAGCACATGTGGAAAATATCACGTCTGATAAAAAAATCGCTTAGTATGAGATATTTAGACTTTAAAGCACCATGGCCGAATCATGTATATAATAAACACAGTGTCAATCTGAATCATCTTTGCATCTAAGAGAAATAAAGACCAATTCGTTAATGAAATACAGCAATTAGATAAAAGTGAAAGCAAATCAAGCAAATATATATAATACCTCTGCACAAGCTTTTGGGAGAACTAAACGACCAATACGACCTGCATCACTAGCACTCAGAACCTTTTCAAATAGTGGCACTATAGTAGAATTTGAACTTTTGACAGCAGAATTAAGGGAACAAAAGAGACTTTGAGGATATATAAAAAAATGGTCAGTAAGAATATAAAGACAACAGATTATGAAAGCAATCAATCAAGTAATCAACAACCTATTCCAATTTTTAGTTAAATTGAGGATACTCTCCAGATATTTGCTGTAGTTCTTGGTCTGTAATTCTTGGCCAGTAACGTGGAAGTAATTGATTACGACCCTCAGTGGGTGGCCTAGCAACTCGCATATATGGAAGTCCATTCTTTGATGCCTCTGAAAAAGATCGAGTGCATGTCTTTAGAGGCTTTGCAAGAATACATTGAGGCCTTTGCATCTGTTGAAGGGCAGAAATTGTATTCCTTTCATCCTTTCCTTCAGCTATTGAACAAGCCATATGAAGTGCAAGAAATGGTTTCCCAGCAGTATTACATGTTTCTGTGTTGCTGCCTTGGTTACTATGCACCAAGCTCATACTAAGACATGACTGGGCTAATGATTCACATATAGACTTATCTGTCATAAAATCCTTCTCATCTCGTAGAGATATTTGGGAGGACCCAACTGGACCTGGATATCTATTTGACAAACTTGTAATTCCTACCTCAGGGGAATGTTGTTCCCACTTGATATGCCCAAACGATCTGATTTCACTCTCACTCTGCTCTAGATCTGCATTTTGCATGCCCTTTCCCTTGACGAATTTACTAACATCGATTTTACTATCAGAAGTAGTGGCTGACATTTCACATGTACGACCTGTTACTGCTGTATCAGCATCGTTTTCTTTGGAACTTTTAGGTGAGGGAGCATTTACTCTTTGATGGTGTTGAGATAAAAAACTTTGAATTACTTCACTAGGCATCTGAAAGGAGAATACAGAGTTATAAAAAAGAAATTATGAGAATAATGTAGCAGAAATGCATGCAAATGTTTTGTTAATGAAGTAATTACTAAAGAATAATATATGTCCACACACCATAGATAAGATAATAATTCAATTGTACCATTTTATGGAGTAAAAAAGTTCCTTTGATTATACATTTGAAAGAATATAAAGGTAAAACTTCTCCTAAAAGCAACATAAATAGATGTTATCCATAAATTTGCCACATGCATGCAACTTCATATACATCATATAGTCGCCAATTTGTAGACCCTTTCAGCTAGAAGAATGGCAAGGCCATGTGGGATACTGAGTCAGAAATTATCACTAAATAATAATCAGAATGTCATCCCAAAGAAGTTCAATGCACACATAGGCAGAACATAGTGGAGATCACCTTGATATTGTAAAAATAAAAATTAATAAACCTTATTCAACTATCAGCTTAAGAGTTAAAATGAATGACCAGCAGCAGATCCTATGTTAAGAATATCCAGACAGGGCAACCAAAAGAAAAAAGGGCAGCTCTGTGTCCAGGGCTCCTGGTCAATGGCTTCGGAAGCAAATGGTCAATGCGTTAAGTATATTTTATTAAATTTGAGTTTCACACGTTGGGTTTGAGCCATAGTTTCAACCCACAAGTAAGAAGCCTTTTAAAAATTTAATAAACCCTATTTCATATGTCAGCTTTTAGATGGATTGGCAGCAGTAAGAAACTTAACCTTCCAAGTTAAATCTCATAGATAATATAAGGTTTACTATTTTTGTTTCTAAGATTACAACAATTAGTCATTATTTTTAATGTCATATATTGCAGTAAAAATTAATGCCAGATTTAAGGCAGGATTCCCTTGGAGGTGAACAAATTTTCCCTTCTCACAAATAAGAGCAATATTGCTGTAGATTTAAAGGATTGCAAATTCCATCTTCCAAGCCATCTTACACCAGAAAGAACAGGCAAGACATCATTTTCAAGTCTGAGAAGTTGAGCAAAGATCATGCACTACATCAGTAAACATGAATATCTCAATCGAAGCATATGGATAATTTTGTATGTAGGTTAGACGAAAGATATGATCTTACGGAAGGAACTTCTAAGTTCTTCATGCAGCCAGTACACTGAACTCCTCCAGTATCAAGTAGATGAAAGAAAGACTTTGAAGCAATGCATCCACAATGTAAGCGCTGCCAGTAACATTTACCAATTACCATAATATCTATCATGCAGAGATATTGATAACAAGAAGACATGAAAATGTACGCCTCAGTGCTCGGTTCTACATTACCTTACCACAGGAACAACATTCCCTCCACCCAGACTCTTTTTGGTGAAAAATGTCACAGAAAGCTGACTGCTCATATGCCATCCTGATTAAAGGAGAATACATGACAAGAATATAGTGATAATAAAAAACCAACATAAAAATTATTGCCAAAGAGGAATTTTGTCAGGAAGAGCAGGTATCATGCTGTAAGTCTGTAACGAAAAAGGTTATTATTATCAAAGTATGATAATCATATTACACAAATGAAAGACAAAATATCAATAGATCGCGTAATCAAAACCTGCAAGCTAGACAAAATAGTAAATTCGTAATATAACAGACGTTATCTAAGTTATTTTCAAAGTCACATCGTCTTATTGTAATTCGAGTCTTATTGTAATTCGAATCGATAAGCAACCTAAAGAAAAATGTGCCGGGTTATTTATATAGTCCCAAATCCCAATCAAGTTAAGGAAGACAAGAATGCCAATATCAGAAGCTCCAAAAACACAAAAGCAAATTCCCATTTGACAAGTTTAGACACTAAACTAACAAATTTCCGCAAAAAATAATGGAACTAACAAAAATTTGAGCAACCAAATCTATTTAAAATACACTGACATAATACTTGAAAGAGAAAATAAAACTACAGAGAAAACCTAATTATTGATACCAAATATCCAATGCCTCAAAGTCAACTACAAACACCTAAAATACAGGAATAGCATAACATAAGTTCCAATCCTGCCTCCGAATGCTCGATCGAACACAAAACCAATTTACTTACTATGACGGGTACTTGGAAACACTCGAATCATTTCAATAACTCAGTGGACAAAAGAAAAACGCAAAAAGACTTCAGTACCCGCACTTGACGCATAGAGTAGCGAATCCACCCGATCTCAGCTCCCACCCCCGCCTCCACTCTCCCCCGGGATCCGTCAGCCCACACGCCACGTTCATGCACCTCACCGTCGCCATCCGCGTGTCCTCCGAATCCACACCCACCACCGGGATCAACCACCAATCCTCCTCACCACAAACACAATCAATCAAACCCACGAACCCGTCGAGACTGAAAGGAACGAAAAGCTATGCCTGCGCTCGCAGGTCGAGATACATGAAGATGATGTCTCCTGATGCTTCTCTGACCAATCACTTGCGCCGCTCTGCAAGAAACCCCATCACACCTCGCGAGAGCTCAGCCGCGGGGCTCATCGGCGATCTGGTGGCGGCGATGGGAGGGTTCAAGGTATACTAGGGAAGAGGGGAGGCGGAGAAAGGGGGGTGAAAGGAAGGGAGGCGTCTGCATGCAGGGGTGGTGATGATGATGTCCGCGCTCTCTCTCTCTCTCTCTCTCTCTTTCAAAGGGGAGAGGAAAAGGACCTGCAAATAGTAAAAGAAGTCGAGAGGAGAGTAAATTAAACGAAAGAAAAGAAGGGGAAGCGATAAGCCGCGATAACAAACAAGTTGAATGCATGCGCGAGCGGGCCCCGCCCAACGGTCCTATTACCCGCCCGATGATCGTATGCCAGCCGTCCGATCGGCCCTCCTCCTCCGGATGCGACGAGACCCCGGTCAAAGCGTCCACCCTGGGAGGGGTAACCCTCACCGAGACATGATCACCGCCACGGGTCCATCGAGTCCGTTCGAGTAGGTGGAGCCCGACTAGCAGCGGCCGGTGCGCCAGCGCATCGGACGGTTCCGATGATTAGATGCGATGATGGGGGCACCGGGTGTTAGCGGGGTAATGATTCCGGGTGTTGACGAAGGTGGTTTCATGGTGCGCACGGGAGGGGGAAGTGGCCTGGCGGGGCGGGTATGGTACGAGGAGCGGTCTCCGTGAGTTATGGGCTGGAGGTGGGCCCATGCAATCATGGCCGTGGATGGGCGAGGGGCAGGAACGCTAGCCGTCGATTTGCGGTGGGGCGTGGTGGGGTTGGAAACGCCGGGAAGAATGGGGGTTGTGGTGGTCCGCGAGCAACGTAACGTGCGATGGAAGTGGATGAGATCATTCCCGATGGCCACTCGTACCAACCGCCATGTGGACCATCGCAAGAACGCAACACTTACGTCGCGTTACGCACCTAATGTTACGCCGTTGGGTCATATGACACCTCTATTGCTCTTCTGAAATATCACCAAAGACACTATTTCTAACTCTCAGAAAATAATATGAATAGTGATGACATGATGAGTGACACGCCTCTCAAAGTACAGCGCATGATGTGATTCTAATGACAAATGTGTAGCCATAATTGCTGGGAATGTTGGATGGAGGAGGAGATGATTAAGCAATTAAAACTTGGCTTAACCACTCACATGTGCTCTGCACGTGCGTCCAACAATCCAGCCATCTTGTACGATCATGTGAGATATTGATCCAAGAGTTGCTTAATCGAATAGGATAAATGCGAGTATCAAAAGGCAAGAAAAGGAAAAATCCGACCCGTTTAGGCTCCTTCCCGTCGAATTGGATTCCGGGATGGCGTCCGCTGTCCCGTGTTGGGGAGACTCCGGTCTTCGCTCAGGCTTTCGGCGGCTCTTTGAGGTCGTCTATTTCGATTCCCTTTGATCCTTGTCTCCTCGTCCTTGTTGGGTTGTGTGTCTCGATTTGGAGGAAGGGGATGCGAGAGGCCGCGAGGAGAAACTGGAAGCGGGGGATTCGCAACGAAAGGTGGGTTTGCGTTTGTCTTTGTCTTTGTCTTGTTGGGATCTTATGTTGTTGCTTCAGAATCCACGAAGATGTTTCTTAGTGTCCGTAGGCTTTGTAGTTGGGAAAAGATCGGATCTTTTGGAAGAAAGATGGTATCTTTACTGATGATTGCTGCTTTGCTCAAAGTTTGATGATGAGTTCTGGCATGGTCTTCGTTATGTGGGTTTTTCCAGGATGAACTAGTGCGGTTTGGTCCTTCCTGGTGAAGAACTATTTGAGACCCTGCTACGCTCATTATTAAATTTCGATCGTATTTTGGTAGACCATATTGGGCCAGGAGATGAGATTCTTTCTTCGATTGACAGAAAAAGTTCACATGGAAACACTAAAATGATCTCTATAAGATGTTGGATTATCGTCCCATAGCTGGCGGTAGCCATAGGTTAAGACAATTCACGGAATCTGTTTCGCAAGCAAACTTGTACCAGCTTCATCATGAAGCCTTACAAGGTCCTTGATGAATTGGATTCCATGGCTCCCATTGATTGTCTCCACAGAATGCTCCAACTTTCTAGCTTCAAAATTTATATTGACTGCCGCAACAATGTATGTCTTAGATGTGTTTGGATAACAATGGCTCCTTACATCAATTCTGGAGTAAACCGCGCATTTTGGGAGAGAATGGTAAGAAAGATTGAAAGCTATCAGCGCAAGTATATAACTAGAAGATCTGTCTCAAGTTCTATAACAGTCTTTTCTTTGATTCAAAATGAAGATGACTACACTATGTGGATGATAACCGAAGCTCATATCCTGTCTTACAGAGAAAACTTGAAGGAGCTGAAGCTACAGATTACCTCCTGCTGCTGTTGCTAGTGTTCCATTCAGTACCAGAATCCGAGGTTCGTCAAGTCCTGCCGCCGCTGTCCTCTTGCAGATTGATAGAACATGGACGGCACAGCTTAGCCATCTCTTGACTCGGATCGCCCCTTCGGAGCTCTCCACAGCTCAAGGCATTGGTACTCCTGGTGAAGGATCCTGAGATCTCCCTGATGAGAACCTCAACCTGCTCGTGCCGACCACCAACTTCCGAACCTGGCAAGATGGCTTTCAGCTGCGACGCCAGTTCGTGCATGACTCTTCCGTTCATGTCCCGGAAACCCATCCATAGACGAGAAAGCCTCAGTTGACTCCTCTCATAGATTCTAACATGGGGGGTATCAATCAATGTAGGACACGAGGTGATGGAATCAAAGGGCGCCAAAGTTTCGTCAGCCACTGTGACAACACAACAGCACTGGCGCCTGGTTGAAGATGGATAACATGGAAGCTGAACCGAGAGTTCACGTGGCGAACTGTTCTTTAGTGTCAGTCGAGCTTAATAAGCAGCAACTCCGAGTGATGTTTGAATTGCTTGTGAAGCATAACTCGATGGAAAAGTAGAATTGTAATTCATTACAAACGAAGCCATAAGGGTAGCTATAAAGAATGCGTATCCTTTCTACAGCTCTCATGAGATCTATCAGTTTGGGCATCGACAGCATCTTGTTATGCCCGACCTACGTCCTCCTAATTCCCCTGCCTCGGCAAGTATATGGCATCCATGATGCTGCCACTGCTCCCTGAGCTAAACATGGCATCAGCGAATTCCGCAACGGGGCAATAATCCACATCTCGGCCACCCTGCGTCTGCCCTTCTTGTCTGCTGCTGCCCTCGAACCAGTTACCCAGTTGGATCGAAGTAGATAGCGTTGTTGTGGGCGCAGCTTGTGGGTGGCCATGGCAAGTCCTGTCGTCCTTCTCATCCTTGCCGATGGGGCTGTGTGCCAAGGAGGGGATCATGATCGGAGTCGGAGATGTCTTGCAGGTGTGACTGCCACAGTAGGTGACTTCCAATGTATATGGATCGGCGTCCAGCCTTTGAACCTGCTTCTTTGCCTCGCAGCCGTAGTAGTTCTTGTGGGTGCAGCGATAGTAGCTCCTGCCATACACACAGCACTTCGATCTTCTCCATTGTGGTACTAAAGAAAGTTCTTAAGGAGATCGAGCTTACCTTGGAAACCTGGAATTGAGTATGTCTTTCTGACCGTACTTCCTCCACGTGTACCCATCGTCAGGGGGAACCTCCATGTTCCCTGTTCGAAGAACAGGAACCTTCTTCGTCACATAGCCTTCCTTCCTGGGAATTCAAGTGCCAACAATTAGTTCTCCGGCAGCTGATCTGAATCAACTTCTGAAACATACGTTCATGGTTTGTATTTCACCTCTTCCTCGAAGATCTCCCGCGGGATGATGCGCCACCCACCGCAACTTGAGCCTCTCCCCCGCCTGCAAATGCCTCGGAATGAGCGGCCGCCGACGGCTGGACTTCCAGAGACAGTTGCGGCGATTCCGAGAAATCGGCCATCTCAAAGAACGGGTGCTCGTCGTCTTCCGCAGCCGGTATTGGGGGAAGCTCGAACGGTCGCATGCGCCCTTCTCCCGTGAGCATCCGAACACCATCGATGGCTTTGTTGAAGGCGTCGACGATGTGCTCGCAAGAGCTCAACAGGAAATGGGCATCGGCCGCGGCGTTGGAGAGGCGGAGGCTGCTCTCCAGTTCTCCAGCTAGCCTGCATGCGCCGAAGACTTGAGACAAGACCTCGTCCATGGGCGTTTGCTTTGGTTCTGAGTCGGCGAGGCACAAGAACATATTTGATGCGAATGGTGGGGGAATACGTAGGAATGGCAGAGACTTTGCATGGAAATATATACATAGAGATACAGAGGCATCGGAGAGATGGAAAGAGTCTTCTTCTTCTGACGTTAGGAACGTGAGAGTGTGTAGAATGGGCTGAGAAGGAAGACTCGGTCGTAGTCCTGCATGGGGTTTGTTCTTGAGTCTTAGGGAAGACTCGTTGGTCTAAAAGCCTCTTTGACTGCGTAGAATATTCAATGTGATTGATCATATACTGCCACAGAAGGATATGAGATTATTTCCTACGACAATTACACTCTGTAGAACAGGTCGCAAAGATCAAACGTTAACAGAGAGCACAGCAGACGGATACTGGTGGAATGACATCTTTTACAAGTTCCATCTTTAACGGCGAACTACATCCTGGCAGAGCGTTCCATTATCTCATATCACTGTATCGTCGTATTCATACTTGATCTCACTCTCGGTCTATCGGTAATTGCCTTGCTCTCGTTTGGTGCTACCGAGACATTGCTAAGACGCTACCTCTTCTCCGACATGGACCCTTGGAAAGACGACGGTCCGAAAGGGTTTCTCCTCCCTCCTCTCCTGAATAGCCCACCGTGCCTCTTTCTGGTGCTGCGTTGCTCCCTAATCAAGTGATGGCGAGGGTTAGAAGCTGAGTGAAAGCGATAGACAGGGACATGCTCCTTCAACATGAGAGGCTCAATATCTATGAGGTGGAGGAGAGGGTCGAGGATGTCATCATCGAAAATGACATAGCAGGAGGCATCTGAGGTGAAGATGAGAAGGAAAATGATATAGCAGTGGATGCAGTAACAGATAGGATAATATCATCTCTTAAATATATATATATATATATATATATATATATATATATATATAATTGATGGATTATTACGGACTTCAACTTTGTTGGGCCTAAGCCCATGAAGAGCACACATTGTGTCGCGGAGACGCTCGTCCTCCACCAGCGACTTATTTCGGTAAGTGGAGTCTCGGCGGCGTTTACTGCGAGATTTCACGGATCTTTTTGGGTCCTTCCCTCTTCTTCTTACAGGAGTCAAAGAGGAATTCTTGGGCCCAGAGATGCGTCCCCGTCGCCGTCCCGATCTGGTCCATCTAGGGGTTTTGCTAGGATTTCTTCTCCTGTGTTATCGCGCCGGGGCTTCGATCCATGAGTACTCCAATGGCGCATTCACTCCCCGCTCCAATTCCTTCTTCTTCCACGGCGGCAGCGAGGGCCTCTATGCCTCCGCCGTGGTCAACATCACCGCCCCCTCCTCCGACGGCGATTCTTTCATCCAGTGAGCTCTCTCTCTCTCTCTCTCTCTCTCTCTCTCTCTCTCTCTCTCGCCATGACGTGTTTCGCCCTCTTTTGAACTTACACTTGCTTTTCTCATTCTTGAATTGGTTAATCTATGTTCAAGATTGTTCTTTTTGGTTGAATCATTGTTTTAGGCATCTAACGCTGCAATCAGGGTTTTGCTCGATTGATCATGCTCATGACAGCAATGGTTGCTGATTGATCAGGGCGAATTCATTTCCAGTCGATACATATTTGTGCATCTACCACTTTACGATGCATTCGATCACACGCCCGGAAAAAACCAAACCTGGATGGCACTTGTCACTTGAAAGTGCTGTTGATACTTGTCACCAGAATCTATGCTTGCTTTCTTCAGGCTTTTTATGCATTACTTTGCTTAAGATCCTGCATATGCATTTTTGGCATACAGCAACGTCTAGTATATTGGTTTAATTTAATGTTTGTATAGCTGATAGTATTTTTGATGGCAATCTTGATATAAGAAAAGAAAGGATATGCAAGCTAGAAAGTAGGACTAGTATCAGTTTGAATAACTTGATCATGGTCATTCTCATATATGAAAATTTTTCCTTATTTATATAATATTTCTTTTGAAAATGTATTCCATCATATCTTATTGCTGTAAGTTATTTCTCAGGTTTGAATCTGTCACCTTCAGGCGCACAAAAGAATCAGCATCGAAGCATAGTGATATGCAACAAAATACTGGGTTAGTAGAAGCTATAATAGTTGAAATTCAAGACAGGGATAAGATTGGTGGTAGATACCTAAACACCAATGCTATATGCTGCACTCGTGAACTCAATGATCAGAATCTCTGTAAAGTTGGGGAAGTAATCATTCGTCCAACTCAGGCTAACTCAGATTGGCCAAAACGCATTCAGACATTTTTTGAGGGTAGTAGTAAAGAAACAACTATGATGACTCAGACTATTCCTATAAGAAAAACTGGAATGTATTACCTTTATTTTATGTTTTGTGATCCACTACTTATAGGAATGGTAATTAAAGGTCGAACTGTTTGGAGAAATCCATACGGTTATCTTCCTGGAAAAATGGCACCTTTAATGACATTCTATGGATTCATGTCATTGGCATATCTTTTACTTGGTCTCATCTGGTTTCTACAATTTGTGCGACATTGGAGGCATACATTGCAGCTTCACTATCATATCACAGCTGTAATAGCTCTAGGCATGTGTGAAATGGCTTTTTGGTATTTCGAATATGCAAATTTTAATTCCACTGGAACTAGACCTATGGGCGTAACCATTTGGGCAGTCACTTTCACTGCTGTAAAAAAGACTGTTTCTCGGCTTCTGCTTTTGGTAGTTTCCATGGGCTTTGGTGTTGTTCGACCAACATTGGGTGGGATAACTTCAAAAGTTGCTGTTCTTGGTGCGGTGTATTTTGTTGCCTCAGTAGCTCTGGAACTTGTTGAGCATTTGGGAAACATCAATGACTTTGCTGGAAAGGCAAGATTGTTCCTGGTGCTGCCTGTTGCACTTTTGGATGCAACTTTCATTGTTTGGATATTTTCATCATTGTCAAAAACTCTAGAAAAGCTTCAGGTAAATGCTTACATGATTATGGTGTCTCACTTGTCAGATTTTAATCAACATCCCTTCATCCTTGGCATATGCTGCTTTCTTTTTTTTCTTGCATACAGTTACTGGTTTGCATCATATTTCAAGATTTGATATCACACAGCAAATGCTATATGTATAAGAGTTTTTACAACATTTATCTGTTTAAGTGAAACTTGTACTTGAAATTTGGATTTTTTTTTACTCTAAGATGGTATAGATGTTCTTAATTATTTTTGTTAATGGTTGTTATATATACACAGTTATAGTTCTCATAGGTTGCTTAGGTATAATAAGTTGTCTAAGTCATACAAAATAGTATTTATACATAAAAGAATATCAATTTATGGAAATTATGTTTTTACTGATTGTCATGTCCATTCTATCTGGTGTCTTAATTCTTAATGTTTATCATTAACACATTCATAAATTGTCTTGTTCATTTCCTGTGTACATATCCACACTTCAAAATGTTACAATTATGTTGCTTTATTGCCACTTGGGCATTTTGGATTTGAGTTATAGAGATCCAAAACAGCTCTTATAGATAAAGTCATAAAAAAATGTACATTAGAATATTATGAGGACTCTGCACTGTCGGATGTCTTGCTTGACAAGCTTCCCTTTCTTACTTCTTACAAACAGATAATTTGATAGTATTATTGGTTATACAGTTATGATATCAATATGTTTCTTTAAAGCTCAATATTTGACATCATCCTTCATAAATTGGTCACAATGCTATGTTTATACTCGCTAAATGCCCGTTAATATCATTCTGAATATCACGTTGGTCTTGGTGAATCTTGCTGCTAATGAATTCAGGTAACTATTTGTTGGTGTTTGGAACACTTTTTTATCCTCTTTCTACATAGCTAGCTAGTAGCTACTATGCCAAGCTACAGTTATTAGACTATAGAGAATTGATGTGCACATTATGATGAGAAGTTGGCTTTATTTGATAACATGTTGAATAATTTCAACCTTCTGTATATTTAGACTATCCCAATTGAGGAAGATGCTTATCATGATACTTGATTCCTTTAGTGATACTAGCCATATTTAATTATTTATCTCTTACCATTGAGCTTAGTTTCTTTCTGTGATGCTTCAGGTAAGGAGAAGTATAGCAAAACTGGAGCTATATCGCAAGTTTACCAACACTCTTGCTGTTTCTATTCTTCTTTCACTTCTCTGGATTGGCTATGAGGTATTTTTTTTCTAGTTAGTAACAAGTCAATCGTACTCAAATTTTAAAAAAAATCCTTCTGATATATGATTAGATTATCGAGTGAGGCAGTTATATAGGCGATAACGTGTTCTGAAGCTAACTGATCTCTTACTTCTTTGCTTACTACATCTTAAATGGTCTTCCTGTTTGAGGATTTGGTCTCAATAGAGATACATCATGGTACGAACCCATCTATGTGGGAACGGTGACCTATCAGAAATTCTGAAATGCTATCGAGAGATGACTTGCTTAAACTAAATTGTTCATGTTCAACTTAACGAAACAAGATGAATGCAGTAAAATATTCATTACTGCCTTGCTTTTGTTTGTGCTAGTTGATTAGGCACCCTCATGCAAATCGTGCATCTTGAAATTGGAATCCTTTGATGCACCAGTCCTGAGTTCTACTGACTTATGTATGAACAAATTAAGTTACCCACTGCCAGTTAAAACAAGTCCTGTTTCCATTCTTGAGCCTGAACGTTGAACAGGAAAACCAACTATTTTAAAGTATGGCTTACCTATATTTCTGTAGTTCATATTGTCAAAAACAGTTGTACAATTTGCAAGCAGTAGGCAGATTGTTTCCGCAAGTTGTTGCATATGTTTGTTGCCAGTCGCGATGCATCTTCTGACTTCTAGTAATATCACAAAATGTATCTCAAGCAATTTACGTTTTTTTAGTTAACCTGAAATGTGACCTCTTGTGACTGCAGTTGTATTTCAATGCAACTGATCCCCTAAGTGAACTTTGGCAAAGGGCTTGGATTGTCTCTGCATTCTGGAATGTCCTGTCATACGTACTCCTTGGAATTATCTGCATCCTATGGGCTCCATCTCATAATCCAACTGGGTAATGTATTAGTTATTCTTTGTTTTTGTTTTTTTTTCTGTTTTTTGCATTGGGTTCTGCAAGAGACTGTCTTCATGATTCAAATTCTTAAGGTTGTCCTATATGAAGTTAAGACATTGAACAATTTGTCGTTGATAGATAGTGAAAAACTATATGAATACATTTACCAATCAATTAGCATCTATATATCTCCTTTTTCTAATTTATTACCATAACGGTGGGAGTTATAGTAATAAAATTAGTACATCATGTGTGTACCATATACTACAAATGGGTCAAACCCGCTACTTATCCTGATTTTCCTTTTTTATGTTTGCCTGAAAAGTCTCGTTTTACTAAGCTTATCTGAAACATGGTATGAGATATGACATGATCTGACTTAGGTAAATTGGTGTAAAAGTTCTATGTTGAATGCCTTCCTCTAACGTAAACTTGACATTGGAAATCCATCATACCTCTAACAGGGTGTGAGTCATTACATATCCAACTTTAGATGGAAACTAGGGCTAGTGGATTCGACATAAGTGACCTGTATGTGATTCACATGCAGATAAAATCTTTTGTTTCTATTGAACAATTTCTTTTAGTAAATTGATGTTAGAAACTTATAATTTCAAATACTACGAGAAATTTCATGTGGACATGATCATCACTGCTTATAAGAAATTTTCTGTTTGTGATCAGATGTTATCTCTGTTTGTCCTTTGTGAAATTAAATCAATGAACAGGTTGGGTATATGTCCATCCTTGTATGGTTATACTGTGATACTGCTTGCAGTTTTGCATATTCGGAGGACACAAACGACGACTTTGATGACGAGGGAGTTTCCCTTACTGGAAGTGGTGCCAGGGGAATTGGTGATAATTTGAGCAAACTGGAGAGAAAGGAAAGGAAGAATATGGATCATGTATTTGGGATTGGAAATGATATCGAGGAGGATAAGCGGGAGTAGCTGCCTTCCCTGGATGGGGTTCTAATCTTCCATCATGTTATGGTATGTTATTGCTCACGTTTCTTGTTGACTTGATTGCAAAAAAGAATATCTTGTCACAAAATATTTTTTTATTACAAAAGAGTGTTTTTATGTGGCCTTAAGGCTTGCTTCTTATTGCACAAATCTCACCAAAAACTTGATCTGCCAAAAAGTTTATGAGTTTAATTTCATTAAGATTTTTTGCTTAATTCCATCTTAAATGGTCAAGGGAATGGAACCATTGGCTGTCATGTGAGCAGAACCTCATCAAAGCAACTTGATAAAGTTTAATAAATCCCATTATCCATCAGCCTGTTTGGCAATCAGATGATCTTGCTTAATGCATGGATGGCCTTTTAGTTCCTTGGCATTAGATCTTGATCCTTTGCTCATGTGATAAGAGCAAAGTCATAAATATTTTTATTCAAAGAACTATTGATAGAAACAGGATGCCCAAGAGTGAGAGGTGTTTACTAATGTGTCAGCCTTCGCTATGTGATTGGTTGTTCCAGGTAGCATCCATCGCCAGCTAAAAGAAACGTAGGTTTCCTGCTTTGTTCTATACACTTTCATGCTAAGTGCATTATAAGTTGACATATTTGATCCTTATTGCTTACTAACCATCAGATTATTTAGACAAGTGTTCAAATTAGATGTACTTGTAAAAAGGGGTAGGATTTGTATAGAAAGAAAAGAGAGCAACCAAAAGAAGCTTCTTTTTTATTCTTTGTTGAAAATGTGAAAGAGGTTGAGTAATTCTTCTGTCTGCCCTCCTATGTTTTTCTTTGTCTCTCTCTTTCGTCGTCCTCACAATTTTGTACTTGGTTGTCCCTCATCTCAAGACAATTGATTTGCTTTTACTTATATTACCAAATCCAACCAATCGAAACATCTAGTCCTCTTCGGATTCTTGGTCAAGCATTCACATCTCCAAGCATATAGCAGGCAAGAGCACCTAATGTGGCACTTAAATCCTTGGTGTTATTGGCTTTAAGTTACTACAAACGTCGTCAACGGTGCAGTATTTTTCGGGTGTGCATTGGATTCTTGCACCTAACCGATTTCTAACCTTGTACTTAATAGCTGATCGTTCTAAGTTGAGGGGTACTATATTCCCAGCTTCTTTTCCACAGTTCCTGACGCCAATGCCTTGATCTCCATGGCTAAAGGTGTCACCCTCATCCCATTTCATCGACACCTACTGTTATCAAGATCGCAAAAAAAACAATCTTAACATTGCATCGAGATTCATGCTCTAACTTGGTACCATTTTTTAAAGTTTATCGTATGCAGTTCATTGTTTTGATATTCGATATCTTTTACCGTGTTCAGAAATATATGTAATTCATCAGTTCTTGTGGTTCCCTTGTAGCCTGCTATACCTCATTCTCCAAGACACAATGAATTCATTGATGTGGTGCATGCTAGGCCAGCTCTACATGGAATGATCTCTATCTTTATTGTGGTATTTGGCCAGGGACACACTGCTCTTCTGTACCGTCTCCGAGCACGCCTACATGTGGATTCTACTACACACCTGAAACTGCATCAAAGATGGTGCTCGCTGTTCATAGCTGGAATCATGGGGGGGGGGGACTGCTAGCTTCTAAGCCTATATGGATTTGGTGAATAAAAGTGTTAAGAATCTTGTTCATGGTAGGTGTGCAACTTGTCATCATCAGTGTAATGGTTTGGTGGTCGATCTTCCTGTACCTGTGCCACATCTATTTCACTTGCCAACCATTAATCTCACACTTCATGTTCCTGTCTAGTTCAGGTCAATCTTGGGATTCATTCTCAAGATCCAGCCTCAGTTTTAATATCTAATTATGATTTCAGGAAGCTATCTTCTTCCATTATTCCTAAGTGTAGCTGCAACTGTAAGATGTTGAAGTCATCAATAGGTTTATCTTTTACACATCTTAACTGTTGGTCTATTGATTCCGGTGGTTGGAGGGTTGTCCTAATACTGCCTTTGTCGCAGGTTCGATACCAGACGGGGCCCATTAAATTTCATGATGTCCTCTATTATTATTGGCTATCATTTAATGATGTAATTAATAAATTATATATTATTTTATATGATCTTGATGATATTAATTTAATAATGAAATTAATATTACATCTATCAACACCCGATGATTCCGTTAACTAAATCTAAAGCTTTAAGTGCGTCATTTCCTTCTTTTTCGATAATTTAGTATTTCTCTCATCTCAATACGTCGAATCCAGTTTAACGTGGGCCCCTGCCAAGGAAAAGCGGGGCGGCGACGGCTCGCCTACCGTGTCGTCCCACGTGTGTATCCACCGTCGAAAAGTAGGAAAAGAGCAAGAGCCAAACCACAATCCGACGGTCTTTATTGGTCGATCTGCAAACGGGGCCCCCCGCAATCACGCCGTTGGTTCCCTGGTGCCAACCTGACGACAGCTGGCGCGTTGGGAAGTGCAGTACCTTTCTCCACGCTCGCATGCTCAACCCGCAAAACGTACCCCTTTCATCGATTGCTCCACCAGCTGCGCGACCCCCCTTCCAGCGGAGGCGTCCGTTTCCACGAGGAGGGGTCTGAGACCGCAAGACAGTGGAAGCCTGCCCAAAATTCCCACTTCCCATCAAATTAGTGGCGCACTACAAAAGCCGGAGAAGTGGATAGCTCAACGGCAGGCGCAGTGCTCCACCGCGAAATCCCGCGGTTTTGGCCGTCTTCTCGCTCGCTGCCCTCCGACCTCCTGTAAGAAGCTTGCTCTGCTCCTTTTGCCCCTCCGTCTTTGGTGTCTGTTTCAACTCGTGTTGACTCTCCGTGGAACTCTTGCTGTGCGTTTCTCTTGGACAGAATTTTTTTAGCTGAAATCCACAGATTTCCGCTGGCTGTAGTGAAATGGAAGAACTTGCCCCGTAGCTTTCAGCAATCCACAGATCGCTTTCTTCCCCAAAAACCCCTTCGTTCTCTCTTCTTTTTTAGCTTCGGCGCAGATCGCAGACTTCCTTCTTTCCACATGAGGAACCATCTCGGCATGTCTCTCGGCCTTCTCTCCGCTTCCTTACTGTTCTTGGTGATTGCTCCGATCTCGATCGCCGCGGACGACTCCAGCTATGTTCCCCGGGACAACATCCTCCTGAATTGTGGCGCCTCAGGGCAGGCCAAAGACACCGACTCCCGAATCTGGACCGGAGACACCGGTTCCAAGTACGGCCCCTCCTTGAACGTTGCAGGACTGACGGCCTCCCTGCAAGACTCCTCGGTCCCCCAAGTCCCGTACATGACGGCCCGGGTCTTCACCTCCCCCTACACCTTCTCCTTCCCTCTCGGCCCCGGCCGGAAGTACATCCGCCTCCACTTCTACCCTTGTAATTATTCCACCCATGCCGCATCCGACGCCCTCTTCTCCGTAACCTCCGACTCCCACACCCTCCTCAGCAACTTCAGTGCCTACCTGACGGCCGATTCCCTCAATTATGCCTACCTCACCCGCGAGTTCTCGGTCAATGTCTCCACCGGCGGCCTCAACCTCACCTTCACCCCATCCACCGCCCATCCCCAAGCTTATGCCTTCGTGAACGGCATCGAGGTCGTGTCGATCCCCGACATCTTCGGCTCGGCAAACCCTATGCTTGTTGTGGGTGGTGGCACTTCCGTGCAGTACTCCATCGACCAGGACTGGGCTCTGGAGACCATGTACCGGCTCAACGTGGGTGGGCAGTCTCTTTCCCCTACCCAAGACTCGGGCTTGTTCCGCTCTTGGAACGACGACTCTCCGTACATCTACGGAGCTGCGTTCGGCGTGACCTACTCCAGTGATCCCAACGTCACCATCTCTTACCCATCTGCTCTCGCCAGCTACATTGCACCGTCGAATGTCTACTCGACGGCGCGGTCGATGGGGCCGGATGCACATGTCAACCTGAACTATAACCTCACATGGATTCTCCCCGTCGACGCTGGTTTCTACTATCTCTTGAGGTTCCATTTCTGCGAGATCCAGTATCCGATGACCAAGGTGAATCAACGGGTCTTTGACATCTTCGTCGACAACCAGACCGTGCAGCGAGGGGCTGATGTGATCGCTTGGAGCTCCGGCATCGGTGTCCCCGTCTTCGAGGACTATGTGGTGATCACAGCAGGAAGCGGGCAGATGGAGATGCGGATCGCGCTTCATCCGGATACCGAAACCAAGCCGCAGATGTTCGATGCTATCTTGAATGGGCTCGAGGTTTTCAAGTTGCAGAACGCCAATGGCAGTCTCGCTGGACTTAATCCACCGCTGAGGCCTGAGCCGGAGGTGGATCTTGGCAAGGTTTCGGACGGGAAGTCCATGAAACCCAAGAGTGGGACCGCGGCCATCGCCGGTGGAGTTGCGGGAGGCTTCGCGTTCTTGCTTGCTCTTCTCTGTCTTACCGCCATCTGCAGACGACATAAGAAGAAGAAGAAGGGGAAGGATGCCGTTAGCAGCGACGGGCCTTCCGGTTGGTTGCCGCTCTCTCTGTACGGCAATTCACATTCGGCTGCGTCGGGGAAGACGAACGCCACGGGGAGCTACGTCTCGTCGCTCCCCGCCAACCTTTGCCGCCACTTCTCGTTCGCGGAGATTAAGGCCGCCACGAAAGATTTCGACGAGTCCCTCCTCCTCGGGGTTGGCGGTTTCGGAAAGGTGTACTGCGGGGAGATAGACGGCGCCACCAAGGTTGCCATCAAGCGCGGCAACCCGATGTCGGAGCAAGGCGTCCATGAGTTCCAGACCGAGATCGAGATGCTCTCCAAGCTCCGCCACAGGCACCTCGTCTCCTTGATCGGGTACTGCGAGGAAAACTGTGAGATGATCCTGGTATACGATTACATGGCCCACGGAACGCTTCGGGAGCACCTCTACAAGACACAGAAGCCACCTCTCACCTGGCGGCAGCGACTGGAGATCTGCATCGGGGCTGCTCGCGGCCTGCACTACCTCCACACCGGTGCCAAGTACACCATCATCCACCGAGATGTGAAGACGACCAACATTCTGTTGGATGAGAAGTGGGTGGCGAAGGTGTCGGACTTCGGTCTTTCCAAGACTGGCCCGACGCTGGACAACACCCATGTCAGCACGGTGGTGAAGGGCAGCTTCGGATATCTCGACCCAGAGTACTTCAGGCGGCAGCAGCTCACCGAGAAATCCGATGTCTACTCCTTCGGGGTGGTGTTGTTCGAGGTCCTCTGTGCTCGGCCAGCCCTAAACCCGTCGCTGCCAAAGGAGCAGGTGAGCTTGGCGGAGTGGGCAGTGCACTGCCAGAAGAAGGGAACACTCGACCAGATCATGGATCCCTACCTGAAGGGGAAGATTGCGGCGCAGTGCTTCAAGAAGTTTGCAGAGACTGCCAAGAAGTGCGTGGCGGATGCGGGAACGGAACGGCCATCGATGGGCGATGTGCTTTGGAACCTCGAGTTTGCGCTCCAGCTGCAGGAGAGCGCGGAGGAGAATGGCAGTCTCGGTGACGGGATCTCAGAAGAGACGGCATCATCGGTTGTGATGGATGGAAAGAAGGTTGCTGATGATCCATCAAGCGAGCCGAGCACCACCACCACCACCACGATAAGCATCGGAGGGAGGAGTGTGGGTAGCGAGGACTCCGATGGATTGACGCCCAGTGCGGTGTTCTCACAGATCGTGAACCCAAAGGGCCGGTGAGTTCATCACGCCGGTGGAGGGTGGCATCGACGCACCGTCTTCTGTATTCGTCCAGCTTGTGTTGTAGTAGCAGTACTAGTACTAGTAGTAGTCTGATGCCTTTGTATGCTGTGCCTACCTGAGTCCAAAAAAACGTATTAGCCTCCAGCTAATAATATATTCAATTACTGCAAACCTTGTCATTTACATTGCCCATCACATCACGCCGGGGGAGGGTGGCCTCGATCCACCGTCTTCTGTGTGTTGATGATGCCTTTGTATGCTCTGCCTAACCCGAGTAAACAATGACTTCAGCTAATGTCTTCAATTACTGCAAACCTTGTCAGTCACATTGCCTATCACATCAAGCAGAATAAAATTAGATTATTTGGGCATTCATGGTGACTGGCGAGGAAGAGAGGTCATTTTGAAAACCACGACTGACGCAATTCATAGAACAAAAGGAGTTCATGGTACAGATGTGTTTTCTCATGGCGGATAAGCTGACAATTGTTTTGACAGAAAAGATTTAGAGTGCAGGGACTTGGCATTATAGATTTGAATTTTTGGAGCAGGAATCAACAAACATGATTATCTTCTTCTCCAGGTCAGATCGGTTGGCACCTATGAGCTTATCCAGCAGTTGCCCATCTTTCAGGAACAAGAATGTTGGAGTCGCATGGATATCCCACGACGAACTAAATTCCTGAAACATGTATAACCATATAAATTCTCTACAACTGACTTCCAAAACATGATCCAACTTAAATATTTACCCAGGAAAATATGGTGAACAATTTCCATTATTTTTATCTGTTGATCCATAAAATTTCCTAATAAATGAATGTATCACACAAGTAGAAGTTTTAGTCCGAGGAAAAACCAAAAACACTGAAGTTGATCATAAGGATGCAGTTATCAGAATTTTCTGAGATTATATTTTTTATAGCTTTATTATGCATCACATGCAGAAAAGAGCTCACCACGATATATGAGACAAAGATTACTAGATGTTGGCTGCATCTCAGTTACTGATAAGCTTTCTAAGCTTTTCTTACGCTACTTAGTAGTTTTCTCAAGAACAAAATGTTTTCTATCTGGAGTTCATGTTTTTTATTCTCCGCTTGCAAAAAAATTGAATAGAAAACTAAAAGTCAAGCACCTTTGCAGTTTCGATGAGCTCAAACCTTTGATCTTTACATTTAGGAAGATTGGT